GGCAGACAGAGAGGAGAGCGAGCGAGCGAGCGAGCGAGAGAGAGAGAGCATCCAGTGACTTTGCACAACCAGATATAGTGTTTATTCAGGTTTGCTAGCCTCGACATTTTGAAGGCTAGCTACTCTGAAGATATGCTAAATGAAGGAATACTATTCAGCGATATTTTCTCATTTCTCTCTGACAATGCACAAAGTAACTTGGAAGGCTGGCGACAGCCTGAGATATTACTCACGTCGGTAGAGGCACAACACGAAGTAGTCAAATATCTCATGTATTCAAGTGGTAGTGTAGGTATGACAGTTGAGTTGAGATTACCCGGTCTATATCGAAATCCAAAATGGCATGTGTCAAATAAAATAGTCTTCAAGATTACGATGTGAATGTGGTTATGGAAGGTCGACTTTCGAACGGGTTGGTGTATGCAGTTTCACTCCGTACTGGCGAAATCTGACACCTTCTCCAGTTCCTGCAAATCTTTAATATTTGTCGAATTATCTATCCCCTTATCCAAATGTTAATCAATTGAAGTATCACTACGTTTCTGTGCTCTTTTTTCACCTGCTCTACACAAGTTTGATAACTTAAAATGATGCAGCTCTATGAAAGCTTTTACGCCGATGCGTCAGTCAGTGGTAGTCAAACAAGACTGGCTGAGTTTCCGAGGTAGAACTCTGCATAGAAGCTCAGCAGCTTAAGTTGCAATACTTCACAGAAGTACACAAACGTCGAAGAGGTATGCAAAGGAAATATAATAAGCGAAAGGGTAGGCAAAAACCAAGTCGACGCAGTTCATACAGTGGAAGCATGTGCACCCTTGTGAACAACTTTGAGCCATGTTAAGAATAGTCTGAAACCATTATTTCTTAGCGTTTCCACGACACAAACCCGGCAGTTGACATCCAACTGACAGTCAAAGACTTCAGCTATTGAGGCCAGATTTTGATTTCATCACACCCAGCTTTCTCCAACCTAATCATATACCAAATAACAATTCATGAGGAGGTAGGCGATCGCCTGACATGCGTAACACGTGTCCAAGCCACCTCACTCGATGAAGCTTCACAGACTCATCAACTGACTTCCCCTCCTCACCTAACACTCGACGCCTGATCTACCTAAATATAACTCACCATATTACACCGGTTAAGACGGGAGAAGGGACTCAAACACCTACGGGTCAAAACACAACCAGCTTCTTCATATCTTCTCCCACTCACAACGGTCATGTCTCACAACCGTTAAAAGGACGGAGTGAATCACTGTGCAGTACATACGTCCTTTGATAGATAGCCGGAGATCATGTCTACACCAGAGATGAGACAAGTCGACAAATCCGAAACTAGTCTGTTGTATTCATGATGAGATTTCGTCAACAATCAATCCATTAGGGTGTATGCAACTTCTCAAATAAGTGAATTGGTCAACACACTCAACCGTCTCACTCCCTATCTTTAAACTAGTAGTTAGTCAGCAAAGACCACTCGTGAAGTATCATCTTACATTTGGCAGTCGCGGATTTTATGTAGGGAAGCGATTGGCTTTCATATGAGTCCGCATTTAACAAAAATAGTCTATTCGCGCGATTATCTACACGACAGAATTCTAGGTGGGTGGACACATACAAGGACAAGAAGCCGAATTCACTTTAGCACACCGATGCCTTGATCGTATGCTTGTCTCTCGCCGACTCCTTGAACGGCGTCATAAATATTGAAGGTAAAGAATTGTTATTTCTTGGTGTTGGAGTCAACATTGACTCGATCGACCTAACTACCATTAGGAAATGTATCTTGAAGAAGTGTATCACTGTGAAGTCTGACAACATCCCTAAAGAGCTATTTAAAACGCCTTGGAAATGGAGGAGGAGGGTGAGACAGACAGAGGCAGACAGAGAGGGAGAGCGAGCGAGCGAGCGAGAGAGAGAGAGAGAGAGCATCCAGTGACTTTGCACAACCAGATATAGTGTTTATTCAGGTTTGCTAGCCTCGACATTTTGAAGGCTAGCTACTCTGAAGATATGCTAAATGAAGGAATACTATTCAGCGATATTTTCTCATTTCTCTCTGACAATGCACAAAGTAACTTGGAAGGCTGGCGACAGCCTGAGATATTACTCACGTCGGTAGAGGCACAACACGAAGTAGTCAAATATCTCATGTATTCAAGTGGTAGTGTAGGTATGACAGTTGAGTTGAGATTATTATTATTATATTATTATTGTATCCTTTAGTTCCTAGAGGAACATAGGGCTTCAGCTGCGCACCTCCATTGACTTCGGTTTTCTGACAACTTTTTCACCCTGCTCCAGGTCTGCCCACATGCTTTCATCTCCTCTTCACATGACCTCCTCCAAGTCACCCTTGGACGACCAACTCGCCGCCTCCCTTTCGGGTTCCACTCGAGGGCTTGTCTAGTGATGTCACTTGATGGTTTCCTCAGCGTATGGCCAATCCATCTCCATTTCTTTCTGCCTATTTGTTTCACAATCGGTTCCTGATTGGTTCGCTCCCAGAGATCCCTGTTGCTGATCTTTTCTGGCCATCTGATCTTGAGTATTGAGCGGAGACAGTTGTTAATGAAGGTTTGAAGTTTGTTTGAGATGCTCTTTATGACTCGCCAAGTCTCTGATCCGTATAGTAGCACTGACTTCACATTGGAGTTGAAAATCCGGATCTTATTTTTGATGCTGATTGCTGTTGACCTCCACACAGATTTGAGAGTAATGAAAGCTTGTCTTGCTTTTCCGATTCTGGCTTTGATGTCTTCGTCAGTTCCGCCTGTAGTTGAGACGATGCTTCCCAGGTAGGTGAAGGAGGTTGTTTCTTTCAGGTTCTTCCCATTTATGCTTATTGTGGTCTGTTGTTGCTGTTGATGTTGGCAAGGAATCTTCATCATCTCTGTTTTATCTATGTTCACGTGAAGTCCTATCTTTGATGCTTCTTCTGCCAACTTGTTACTTTTCATTTGCATATCTTCCAGTTTATGGGAAATCAGACATATATCATCGGCGAAATCCAGATCCTCCAAGTCTTTTGTGTCAGTCCATTTTATGCCTGTTCCCTCGTTGGTTGCCGTTGTCTGTCGCATTATCCAATCAATTGCAATCAGGAAGATCATTGGTGATAGTAGACAGCCTTGCCTCACTCCCGTCCTCACTTCGAAGGCTTCCGTAAGTTTCCCGTTGTGGATTACTTGGCATGCAGCATTGTCGTATAACTGTTGGATGAGGTGTATAATTGTCAATGGGACCCCGTAGTAGCGAAGTAGTTTCCAAATGACCTCTCGATCGACGCTGTCGAAGGCCTTTTCAAAGTCGATGAAGTTGAGATAGAGAGGTGACTGCCATTCCAAGCTTTGTTCAATGATGATCCGTAGAGTGGCGATTTGATCAATACATGATTTGTTTCTCCTGAATCCAGCCTGTTCCGGACGAAGTTTTTCATCTAGGGCTTGTTTGATTCTCTCCAGGATGATGCGACTTAGTATCTTGCTTGGAATGGACAGAAGCATAATTCCACGCCAGTTTTTACATTGACTTAAGTCTCCTTTCTTTGGAAGTTTGAATAAGTAACTGTTCTTCCAATCCTCGGGTACTTTGCCCTCTTTCCACACCTTCTCCAGTAGTGGTGTCATCAAGTCCGCTGTTGTCTCTGGGTCTATTTTCAAAGCCTCTGCTGGGATTCCATCTGGTCCCGGTGTTTTCCCAGTTGAGATTACCCGGTCTATATCGAAATCCAAAATGGCATGTGTCAAATAAAATAGTCTTCAAGATTACGATGTGAATGTGGTTATGGAAGGTCGACTTTCGAACGGGTTGGTGTATGCAGTTTCACTCCGTACTGGCGAAATCTGACACCTTCTCCAGTTCCTGCAAATCTTTAATATTTGTCGAATTATCTATCCCCTTATCCAAATGTTAATCAATTGAAGTATCACTACGTTTCTGTGCTCTTTTTTCACCTGCTCTACACAAGTTTGATAACTTAAAATGATGCAGCTCTATGAAAGCTTTTACGCCGATGCGTCAGTCAGTGGTAGTCAAACAAGACTGGCTGAGTTTCCGAGGTAGAACTCTGCATAGAAGCTCAGCAGCTTAAGTTGCAATACTTCACAGAAGTACACAAACGTCGAAGAGGTATGCAAAGGAAATATAATAAGCGAAAGGGTAGGCAAAAACCAAGTCGACGCAGTTCATACAGTGGAAGCATGTGCACCCTTGTGAACAACTTTGAGCCATGTCAAGAATAGTCTGAAACCATTATTTCTTAGCGTTTCCACGACACAAACACGGCAGTTGACATCCAACTGACAGTCAAAGACTTCAGCTATTGAGGCCAGATTTTGATTTCATCACACCCAGCTTTCTCCAACCTAATCATATACCAAATAACAATTCATGAGGAGGTAGGCGATCGCCTGACATGCGTAACACGTGTCCAAGCCACCTCACTCGATGAAGCTTCACAGACTCATCAACTGACTTCCCCTCCTCACCTAACACTCGACGCCTGATCTACCTAAATATAACTCACCATATTACACCGGTTAAGACGGGAGAAGGGACTCAAACACCTACGGGTCAAAACACAACCAGCTTCTTCATATCTTCTCCCACTCACAACGGTCATGTCTCACAACCGTTAAAAGGACGGAGTGAATCACTGTGCAGTACATACGTCCTTTGATAGATAGCCGGAGATCATGTCTACACCAGAGATGAGACAAGTCGACAAATCCGAAACTAGTCTGTTGTATTCATGATGAGATTTCGTCAACAATCAATCCATTAGGGTGTATCCAACTTCTCAAATAAGTGAATTGGTCAACACACTCAACCGTCTCACTCCCTATCTTTAAACTAGTAGTTAGTCAGCAAAGACCACTCGTGAAGTATCATCTTACATTTGGCAGTCGCGGATTTCATGTGGGTAAGCTCTTTTGTAGATGATTGGATTTTGGGAGGACAATAAGTGAAGTTGTTTGAATGAAAAATTGTATGTTTGTATTGAGAAATATTTTATATTTTATGAAACGTGGATTAGAAAAATATGACACCGAATTCTCGTGTGAAATGCGGTAGGAAATTTTGATATAAAAAGTGGTAGGGATTATTGTAAAAACAAGAATTTAGAGTGTGACGTCTGTATTCTCTTTTTGCATTGTGGGTTTAATCTTGGAAGTTGAATTTCACTTTTATTAAATATCGCAGGCGAATTTGATTCACGTTATAAACGATATATTCGTTGTACAGAAGAACACATTGCTTTGCCTCTGGTTCAGGTGCCTGAGTCAATTTTCCGCAAGGCACAACGACTCCATCATCTCTGCAGATAAGAAGAAATAATCAACGAAATATATATATATATATATATAATCAAAGAGATATTAACCTTTACGAGGAAAATATTAAGCTATGAGAATTTGAAGAGTTATATGGGTTGTAACGTAGATATATAGCCCTGAAGCGTCTTTATTCATCAGTTGTTGTTTTTTTAATTTTTATATAATTAAAATACTAATAGTTTCTGACGGAGGTCTATGTTGTAAAAAGAGACAAGCATCATAAAGTATTATAGTGACTGGATAGTCTACATATCCAAAAGATGAGGTTAATGTATGAAGAAGACATAAGCTGAAAAAACGGATTCTACGTAACTGTCATTAATAGATTCCGAAATCTCCATAATTTCTCTTAGAGGTAGGTATTTTGGCTAATTTACTCTTACAAATGACCATAAAATATGAGTATATACCTTAACGATGTCTAGTGCAGTCTTTCACTTCTGTATGTTAGTGTGAGTGCCTTCGTATTTAGTGGATATTGTTTAATGATTGTGTGCGAAAATTAATGCATAATTCACCTGAATGAATGATAAAATATTATCTCACATTTACTTAGTAAATGAACTCGATTTGACAGTAATTTCTCTTTCTCATGAATAGCTAGGATTCTCAAAATAGTTTTTGTTTGTTTATCCCAAATTACCTATGTTTACAGTAATGTCTATCCAATACTCTGTAACTTCGATAAATGTCTAATTCTTACACATCAGTGTAAGCATTTCACTGGAAACTAATTAGTGACATATCTGTTGCTTTGTGTTGTATCAGCAAAGAAATATTCTTAACTTACAAAGTTTTCCAAGTTTCCCGAGTTGTTCGCCACCTTCCAACACCTTTTACACTATTAAAACCGGATAGACTCTCTGTGACACTGGAACATCCCTGATAAAGCTCTCGTTGCTTGCCAAGTGAAACCTATTTTACCAAGAATATGTAAACAAAAAGTAGTAAAACAATATTTAAATTTTTAAAAAACATGAAATGTTTAAACATGACTATTTTGAAATGCTAATTTTTAATACATCACATTGACAATCTGCGACTGTTTATGCAAAAGATTGGTATTATCAAATACAATTTGCACCTCCTAATTAAGCAGACTTTTTCAAAATTGCTGAGGATAATAAAAATTTTAGTGGCCGTAGGCGCCCTCATGACGTTTCCACACTGAAAATAATTTAAGGGCAAGATAACCAAGTAGTATTAGGTGACAACACCAGGAACACAAAAAATTATCTGAAATAGATACATTCACGAAGTTCGAATCTCTCGACATATTTATAAGGCTTCAGGACATCTACATGCAAAAGCAGGCTCTACTGAAATCGGTCAACTGAGAATAGCTAGTTACAATTACTTTTGAATTCTTTATACTGTTCTACACTAAAACCCAGCATTATTACACTTCAATGACAACTGATTACCAAAAGGCAAGCAAAATAACGACACAAGGAGAAAAAACATCGGTATGTGTTTGGTGTTACAAAAAGAAAATAATATTGTTGCTTAGTTGAATTCAAAATTGAGTACACACGAATATGTATCTGTTATATATCGTATTATTTCAGGCTAGCGAATCATCTTGGATGCGATTAATTAATCCAATCAAAGAGGAAATACATTGCTCTCTATCAGCGATACAACACAATGAGATAAAGTTAACACCTGGAAAAATACTGGGTTATATAGTTCAGCTTATAGATAAATTACTTCCTTACTTCAGTCATCGTTTATGCAGTCAATAAGTGCCACGATTAGCATATACCTTAAAAATAAGTGAATAACCGTATCGCATTATGACATGATGAAAATCTCAATGAAATGTATTAAATATAATAGATTATGAGTGAATGAATAGTGCGGCTTACCTCACAAGCAAGCATCAGTCCAACATTCTGTAGCTGTGTTGGATATACATAATTGGCCGATTTCGATGAACAATCAGCAAAATATACACCCTTACCAAACATATATCCACTGCATGGCGCTTCAGGTGGGGCAATTTGTAAACCTCTTCCTAAAATACCAACCCAATTGCTGAGACGACTTCCATGCCAAAGAAGCATTCTGAAGAAAGTAATTATAATAATAATGCACACGTTTTGAAAGGATTCTGTTGTGACATTATAGTTTAACTGTAAACAAAAGCTTGAATAGTATTTGCCGAGGAATTATGTACCTACCTTGCAATCTTGTGCCTGATGAGAAGCTTGGATAGACGATCTTCCTGTGAACCTGCTTCAGAACCAGACGCGTACCAAGAAGGGAGCTGTTTTATTTTAAAAGTGATCAATAACTGTGCTATATCGTATGATCTCTAATTTAACTTATCTATTCATTCAGTTATTTATGACCGAGATAAGTTAGCTAGTGAAGTTATAAACCAACAGTCATTAAGGCAATCAGAGTATCTATTAACTAAAACGAGTATTCACCCCATCGTATGATGACAGGTGAATGTTTTAGAATGCGAAATGGAATGGGTGTCCGATGCAAGACATACTTTCAGTCCATGAAGTACTTAACTGTCGACGTAAAACGTGTAATTGAGTGATAACAATAAGATGATTGGAACCAATTACTAGAGAACATAAGTAATACAGTTAAGAATTGATTCGATTGATAAGGATTTAATTATCTTGTTGCTGAATATATGACATTCACCTCTGTCTTGCATTTGATTTTCTAATTTATTTGCATTCATGAGTCGTTACACAGCATAATTTTACATTAATTAGACAGTCATAATAGAATACCTTGTCAACACCTGTCACGGGATCTCAACTGACTCATCTTTCAGCGTCATTAACAAAGTGAACAAAAATCTACCGAAGGCTATGTGTTTCCGACTCTTTTGTACCGTAGAAGCCCTTGCCATATGCATTGGAAAGCTGGAACTGTGCGTCCAAAAGAAACTAGTTCAACCCCTAAATTTATTGTGAACTTAGCTCGGTTGGTCTCCTTTTGTCCCGCTTTTTCAGCTTCTTCATTTCTTTCAGCTTTAAAATTATTACCCTTCCAACTTATTCCCATACTCATTCCATTCACACCTTTAGTTGTTAAAAGCTATTTTATGATCCTGTATAATTTTGTTTCCAAGCCCCTTGTGATCTATACTTATACCTTTAAACTTCCATATCAATTTACAATTAAAATTTAATTTTTCCAGTTGTCAAATATTAATTTTATATACATTGTAACTGTTTTCTAATATTATGTAATCTTGTCTATAAGGCCTTATAGTCTATATTCACACATTCAAACTTTCATATCAAGTTAAAATCTATTATGACCCTTTACAATCTTCATTACTACGTAGAATTACACAACAATTGTATCTATGTAAACCTATGTATATAAATTAGATTATACAGCTTTTGAGAATGAAATCGCCGAAAAGATATCTTCGCCGAACTTCTTGTTAGTTTCCCTCTAATGTTCCAATGGGTATTTTCCACGAATTAATTATCTGTCTACTTGTTCACAGGGTATTTCCCGCCCCACCCCCGGATCCCAAGTAAACACAAACAAGCAGGGCGAGATGCAGTTTGGGGAGCTTCCGGATAGAAATGGAAAAACCCGGTGGTGAATTCCCAAAAAGGAGAATCTAAAGGTTTTAAATAATGAAAAGGGGGAGAAAAGAGCAGGCAGGCTTCGAGAGGGTTATTTCCCCCGATTAAAGATCCTCCGCGCACACATTTTTTTCAAAGAGTCTCTCGGGAGTTTGGTGGTGCAGGAGTCGAAAAATATTCTTAAGCCTTTTTCTAACCGGGGGTGCGGGTTCTAGTGCGGGTCCAGAGCCTTTCCTTTTTTATTAATGTTATGTACCGGTGTGGTTTCGGAAATCTTGAATAATACTCTGGAACAAAGTTTAAACCTAAATATTTGGTCCCCCCAAAATTAGGACTGCCCTTTTAAATAGGAAGTGAAATGGTAGAGCACGTTGACCGCTTCACTTATTTGGGAAGTACCATCAGCCCCAACGGGCTGATCTCTGACGAAATCTCAGCACGAATACAAGGGGCTCGTTTCGCATTTGTTAGTTTACGCCGACTCTGGCGTAGACGAGATGTTCGACTATCGACCAAAGGGCGGGTGTACTGCTCATCAGTCCGCTCCGTCCTCCTTTATGGTTGTGAGACCTGGCCACTCAGAGTGGAAGACATGAAAAGACTAGCTGTCTTTGATCATAGGTGCCTGCGTTCTATATCCCGTGTAAAGTGGCATAATAAGGTGAGCAACATGGAGGTTAGGCGTAGAGTCCTAGGTAAACAGGGGAAATCAATCGACGAAGTCGTGAAGCTACATCGACTGAGATGGTTAGGACATGTGTTACGTATGCCAAGCCATCGCCTCCCTCGACGAGCAATGTTAGCGGATATAGGGTCAGGCTGGAAAAAAGCTAGCGGCGGTCAAACAAAAACTTGGCATCAGTCAATGAAATCCACAACAGTTGGTCTTAGCCACGTAGGAAGGTGTAGACTTCCAGGCTGGGGTCCTCGGGACGGCAAAAATCTATGGTTGGAAACAATTGGTGACATGGCTCAAAATCGTTCTCAGTGGCGCAGATGCATCCACTCCCTGTGACTTATGATCTCCAATGAAACTGTTTTGTATTTCTTTATTACTCCTTTGTCTCACACCTCTGCTCACTGTTTCTATTTGCTTTTCTTGTACTTTCTTCTCTTGCTTCGCGTGCTACACGGAATGTGGCGACTTGAACTTCCGCACATTTGTGCAAAGTTCTATGTCGAAAACAGACAGACAGACAGACTACTTGTTCACAACCGGAAACAATGTATTTATGGTGCGCGTTTCCACTATTAAAGTGTCGGTTTGGACATATATTAAAGTATTGAGTTGTATAAACAATCTTAGTTACCTATTTCCGTAATCCTTGAAGTTCTCTCGTTCTGCTGACTTTTGGCATTCAAATATGTCTAATATCTCCAGCGCGTACCGACTATGAGTAGAACCATGAGTATTTTGGAGGTAGTCAGCTAGCAGCTTGAAAATTTTGAGTGAAAAATAAAAATTACGTCAATATTAATACTCGAATTAAAATAAGTTATAACCGTATGTATGCAACTATTGATAATAACTGATGAAAATACTTACAGTCTACATACAGGCCATCTAACGAAACAATCACAGGAAAAAGAGATTATCTACTTTATTTGTAGGGAGATTTGATACCACATTCTATGAAGGACTATTGTTATAAACTTATAGTATTCTAAATTCATGGTGAACAAGAAATGAATACCAAAATCTACATCATCTGATTTTTTATTAGGCACTGTGTTCTATTAAGGTGAACTGTGAAAAAAGTGGCGATCACAGCATACTTTGAAAAGGTAAGTTAATAACCTGCGTCTTACGCTTATCCTTCTTCCAAAAACCTCTCAAATAAACTACTATGAAAGAAAAAGTGAACACAAAGCAATTTAATGAACAGAAATCGATTCCAGAACAAAACAAATACCAGTCTTACCGAATACATGGCATCAGTAGATCTCAGGGGCTGAATATCGCAATTCAGTCGTTTGTAATTTACATCAATAATATTTTCCGTAGATGACTGATTGTTTTTCAGAATGTTTACTGCGAATTCAATATCGGACAGAGCTTCCAATAATTCGATCTTCGACTTAACATCAGGTAGAGTGCGAATGAGAGGTGGGATACGCATACTAAGAATAAAATGGTGAAAGGTTGAACGAAATACATCTTAGGAACCATGTGAAAAGAATAGTAAAACTTTCGACACCTGACCTCAGCACAAATGAGACAGGACAAGCAGTCAAAATCACGATAATGAAAATTGTAATAGAATCGCAAAAAGAAGACTCAGACGAACCATATGGGTTGGATACGTTCCAGTTGGTGCGATTCATACTGTCTGAAATGCCCAACTGTTAATTTTAGTTATGCTGTAAATCGTAATGAAAAAGTCTAAATTTCGCTAACCTTCACAAATAATTTTACCCTAGTCTACTAAAAATAATGCACTTTCTAAGTTAACTTTTTATCATCACATGCTAAAAAGTATGCTGACTGAGGACAATCCACATTGGATTTAGTAACTCTGGCAACCTTAGATACAGAAAATAAACCGGTGCACTCTGTTTTTGCAACATTAATTAGGAGAAAAAACCCAAAACCTAAAACCATAACATGTGATCATTGCTCAAATAAACTTTACATTACAGAAAAAAAAACATGAAAGATTTAAAAGACATTTATTACCACACTTGTAAGCATGAACTGAATTGAAGTCATTATGTATTTTACCCCTACTTCCAATAAAATACAGAACATGTGTTAAGACTATTGTGTCCAAAACAGACTATTTCTGCCAGTCAATAAAACTGTGGATTTTTTCACTTCATGTAAGAAAGGTCTCAGAAACCGTTAAACAATTGTTTCACCTGTTTAAGATTGAAGTGACACATAAACACGCACCGACGGAATCACTCCACAATCTAATTTGTAAAGAACTCAGCTTCCGACGAAAAATACACCAATTTAATCAAATATTACAGTTGTGGTTATTATTAGATTTTGTTATAAAACGATACCAAACAGTTTCATTGAAAAAATGTGAGAACCAAGAATAACGCATGACAAGATAAAATAACAACAGTCCATGGAGGAAAACCGATATGCAAGCGTTTAGCGTACGAATATTTGGCACATGTAAAGACAACCAACAAAAACCAACGAGTACAGAGTACCTTCGAAAAAAATTTAAAAATCCAACAACGTGAGTTGATTCCTCCCCCCTCCCCCACCAATAGTTTAGAGGACCAGTGACAACTTACAAGCAATGACATACCGCTTCACAATAAATTGTCGATGAAGTGGATTGGTGTAAGACCACCGCTTCCACTGCAACACCTATGCAGACTGCAATCATGCATCAGAACGTGTACTTCCATGTCTGTGACTGAATGAACTTACTTATATATATACCCAGCTTTCTCATGAAAACAAAACGCCTGTATTCAAGGTGAAGATTAACAAACATTTTCTTTGACACGACAACGACTGTCATCATGTGAAAACTAGTCACTAATGGACACAATTGATAACGTGTAAATAAGGGTTAGTCAATACCAGTGAACTTCTAATCGATGGAAAGGAACTTATCACCGAGTGCCTAAAAAGTGACGAGAGGAAGGAACAGAAAATGAAACAGCACCCATCAACCATTCAAGCGTATCAAGGGAACTGGTCTAAATGTGATGTTATTTGAAACAGAATTAGCTTGAATAAGTTTCAGCAGAGAAACCAGGGATGAGAAATCACAAACTATTGATTTGAGCAACGTAATGTAATATAGATTGCCTGGTTGCAGAGTCTGCAGCGCTAACAATGCTTTGAGGTTTTCGATAAGAAGGGTAGAAATCGTTTGCTATGATACAGATATATATTCACTGATTGTCATCTTCTTAATACTGAGTGTTAAGTAACTATCATTTAATTACAAAGTTCTTCGTGTTACTTTTTTGTGCATGTTTGTACGTTGTGGATACAGCATGAGACCGTAAGGATTGTCCATAAACTATGTAAGTCAGATGAATTGCGTTGTCGTACAAAAAATTCATGAACATTAGCCACTAGTAGCTGATATGTTGGACTTATTGCTTCACATTAGACACCAGTCGATACAATCCGCTTAGGAATGAATAAAACATCTTCAGATTTCGAGTTTGATCATTTAAAGAAACATTTAGGACGTTAACAGTAGCTAGTACCGCGTAAATGTTTATGTTAGACAGTTTATTCCATTATTATTTTTTTTTTGATTACAGCTTGATTCCACACTGTATTTTTGGTACAAGTATGGAATTTTCAGCAAGTGATATCGGTAGCCCAAATTTCGCAGGCCGACCATAGATATCAGGTGTGCGTCGGCGTGGGCTCGAACCCCGGGCCATGTGCATGGTCGGCGAGAGCCCTAACCACTGTGCCACCGACGCACAGGGAATATACTCTATCATAGCGAGCAATTTTCTATCCTTAAGTCTTCGAACTCACAAGCTTATAATTACTGAAACCCACAAAACAAGAAAAATGAATTACCAATGAAGTTAGCGTTTATGAAATAAATAAATCTCGCGGTGAAACGGATACTGCCATATGTTTAAGATAGGAGAATAAATAACCTCCATATTTATGGTATGCAGACTATACAAGTGATTTTACTGACGAATAGAAGATAATTATAAATTTGAGACAGAACTCTGTCAACAAGATTCTACAAACTTGATCAATGTGCCAAGACAGTTTAGTATATCAACATTTCGAAAGTAAGGAAAGCCTTGGCCAAGTTTAGGAATTGACACCTAAAAGGTCCCAAATGCCCCTATGGCCTCGAAATGAATTATGCTAAGAATATTTGGGCCCCTAACTCAACACCATTATTCTAATACTCCCCTAAACTCAACGTGACTCTAATACAGCCTGATATTTCCCTAACCTAATTCCAACACAAATTTATCCTCAATCAAGCCTGGTACCTCCATGATCATAACCTCAAACTAATCCGGTATCCTGCTTTAAATATTTCCATACTTCATTCAACACCCTTTCTGTGGATATAGTGTTATTCATCTGGTTTCATTGCCTTGCTCTGACTGAGAGTACCAAGATCGTTTGTGCTTGCATGCCTGTTTGGTGTCTATTCTTTAACTTCTCCCAAACCTTTATGAAATATCTGGAAAGAAGTCGCTACACATGTAGTAAACTCAGAGAAGGTTTAGCATAGAAAGTACTAACTGCAAGGCATGGATGAGCGACTCCACTCATGACTTTACTACAGATCAAGCCTAGGACTACCGATATACAAAGTAACTACGCTCTTATGTAAATTATGAATTATAAACGAATGGCACATGATTCCCAGCTTCTATTTGATTCTCAAGGACTGAGGATATACAACTAATGAAAATCCCGCACCACAGTGTCATATATGTCTATGGCTCTTTATTCTTCAGTGATGTTCTGTGTTAAAATCTGTCTAATTCAACAAGTAAAATTGACGCATGTAACGCTTAACTTACCCAAAGTCATGGGGAATTCGAGTGTAGAAATCGTTACAGGCTGAAAGCAGTTGTTCTTCTAATTTTCGTTTCTCACTAGCATTGTTTTTTACGCGCTTGAGTCGACCTTTTGACTTGGTTTCCTTTTCAGCATCAGATGTCTGATTTAATGCAGACAAAGCGTTGACTATTTTGGAAATATTATCTAGTGCTGTGTAGCCTGCACGAATCTGTGTTGTACTTAATTTTCCGAGGGGAGCACGACGTGAATCGTATTTTAATTCAGTCATAACTTGTTCCATATTGTTTATATCACAAATCAATTGAATAAGTACCTGGAAAAGATTACTGAATGAAGATGTGAACTGATGAATATACAAAGTGGAAATCTTAATTTAAGACGCTGAGAAGGCTTGAAGCTTGATAGTTGTGGAAAAAGACAAACAATCAGGCATCGGTTAAACGATGTATCAACTAACGTTGCCGATTGAAAATCTAAGCTAAATTACGACAAGAAACAGATTTCTGAACTAAAGAGTTGGCTAAAACATTGTAGTGTATCACAGATTTTGTCACAAATCTTCTTGCTGTCATCGGGACAATTAGGAACTGTGCTTGCATCACTCAAGCAAGTTTTGGTTAGCTAAACAGTAGGACGCGGAGATTGGCTTCCAGCGTTCAGAAAACAATACGTCCGGTTCGCTTGTTACAAAACCCAACAATTATTCGTTATAAATTATACAGAGCTTCAGACCCTAAAGGAGTGTTGTTGAAAATTTGTGAACAGTCAGGATACAAGATATTTACTCAGCTATTCGTTCCTGAGTTGTACGCAGTTGGAAAGATACCGACGAAATAAAATGAATCCGTCTTTATCCTGCTCCATCTCTTGTTATTGCTTTATCCAAACTCATCAAGGGGAATTCGTGTGTGGAATTTCTTAAGGACGCCTTCCTTCTGATTTGTTCAAATCCCCGAATTATCTGGTGACGATACGTCATAGGATTCCCAGAGAAATCACTCGTTTGAAGTTTCATGATGAATATCTAGAGTTATCCTGCTTCCCTCGGCAGTTACCGAAATCTCTCAGTTTATACAAACTACCTTCTTCTCTTAGAACCCTACGACATACCACAAAGTGTCACACTCAATCTTCAAGATCGCTTATAGAAAAACTAAGGTCTGAAGCCAATGTATTTGACGACCCCGTCGATCATTAAAGCGTTGCATGTTGAATAAAATTTATCAACTTCATGCAAGATCTTGAACAGTGAACACGTACGAATTTTTATAAGACACCGTGAAAGAACTTAGTGAAAAAACAACTACGTGCAGGTTATGCGAGGAACGTATTCCACGTAGGCCAAAACTCTCTATGATAAATTCACCACAAAACATAGTGGATCTTTGGTTAGCTGAAAAGTTTGAACGTATTCGCCAAAGGTTAGCCTAATACATGATGAAAGACCCTTCAATTCGTCAAAAAACTGGAGAATCTGGATGTTCCCTGTAAGTTTATTGCCTCACTGGATGCGAACTACTTATTCACTAATCTGCTTTATAAAACTGTATAGCTTATATGCCAGGATTCTGATCATCTTCCCATGCCACTTTCAAAATTCAGATGCCTTTTATTTCAACATATTCTATCGTCAAATTGATGGGGGAGTGAAGAGATGGCCACTAGACAGATATTTTCATGGCAATTTGAAGAGAATAGTAAGAATTCGTAGTTGTATCCCACATCTCTCTTTGATTCTCCATCAACAATCAACTTCACTATAAGTTGTTTGCTGTCAAATTTTGATTAGCATAGTTACTAGTCGGTGACGAGGTTGAATGCCAGTCTATCCAAGGAGGTTCGCCAAGCCACAGTGTTATTAGCCAAAACAAACTACAAATGACTTGCAGCTACAGACACATAACCATACAGAACCGCTAAACTATATTCATTTTATTTATTATAGGATTTTGTAAATCGTGCTTGGTATCATCTACTGAGTGCAAGCGAATAATGTTTAAAGTATCATTACTTCGATATTATTGCCTAAAATTATTTATTACGACCACTTCAATAAGTACTAGACAGGTACCTGGCACGATTGTAAACTGGTTGAAATTCATTTAGACTCTCTCATATTAATATAATCACTAAAATATTTTGTACACCTGGACAAAATAGCTGCATGACCGACTGAAGTATAACAGAAGAACCCGGTGAAAACATATGTGTATTTGACTTCATTTACGAAAAACAGCAGTAATATATAGCTCAATAACCCGCATGATTCGTAATCTTTGCTTTGCATCAAGCACTTCCCGAGAAAGGTCAGCAACTACTAACAACTTACCAACGCTAAGGTGACTAGAGAAAACTCTGATCAAGATACCATACACGAGTTCTGATAATGCAAATTCCGGCTGATTTCATACAATGCTAGATGCCAGAACCTCAGCAAAACAATCTGCTTGCCTTTTCCATTTTTTAGAAAATACAAACCTCAGAGTTATAAGGTAACTTGCACAATGTCCACTTTTCGAAATGATTAATTGCTAATACATAACTAACCTGGACTGCAACGGGAAGTCGGGACTTAACTTCTTTAGTTTTCTTCTTTTTCGGTACCACATTTTGCTCCTTTAAGATAAATAACATCCCATTAGATTAACACAAACACTTACTTGAACACCATAATCCAACTCAACCATATCATATTTTCCTTTTTGTTTTTCGAAATTGGCTCTGTCTTCCCAATGATTAAGAGTTTTATCGAAAAACCTACAATTAAAACTACAAGAAGCTTGACGTACTTTCGTTCGAAACAATTCTTAGCAGCTTGTAGGTTAGAAGAGAAACTTTCGAGTTTATTTTGACCACATTTCCCTACACGCCCCCACCGAAACCAAACAGAATAACTGTTCACATTGTCATCTTTCAATAATTGTATAATATAGTATTTGTTGTTATTATTTTGTACATTGGTCTGAAGAGGTTTTTTAACAAACACCATAACTATTCAACAACGCCTTTACCTGGTTTAACATAACATCGTAAATGTTATCGCCTTCAAAGTAAACATGAGCTACGTTGATTTTTTCTACACACTCAGGATCAACGGGAGCTTTCCCTTTGCATATCACACTCTTGACTGTATTGGTAATCAACTGAAAGTGAGAGCAACTAACCTTTTTTGCAACTCTCATGGTCACTTCTATCACTGTTGTCAAGTTGTTGACTCTTCAGAGGGCGCTTCATCAATATGCACAGTCTAATTGTGGTACTTTAAAAATGAACAGCAAACAGAAAGTTACAACAACAGTATAGTCTAACCTCTGGATAGAAGAATGTTCTTCAGAAGTGGAAAGTATTTCAACATATTAGCTTAGTCATTATCGTAGTTAGTTCAGTCTTAAGGGATAACCTATGACGGTTCTGTTTAATCGTGTTCATTCAACTCATTTTCCAATAAGCTAATACATGCTTCCTTGCCTTCTATAAATAAGCTAATAATCAAAAGGCAAGACTTGAACAGAAAACAAACAATAGCACTTTTTCACTGCATGTCAGATAAAGTACAAGGTTAGTTTACTCTCTATCATCAAATTCTTAGAAATGTTCACCAACCTGGTGTCATTTGAATCTTAAGTATTTCTTCTTTACATCCGTTATCCATTCGGTATAATGAACAGAATCGTGACATGAATTGGTGCATGTCTGTTCAAGGTACAACTCTAACCTACCTCTAAGCAATATACGTCGATGGTCTTGTCTGTTGTCTTGTAATGGATTTTTAATTAAGGATTATAACATGAAGTGAGGTTCTTTACAGAAAAGCCAAACACTGTTGAAAATTTGGCATCAAATCCAGAGATAGTAATTGCATAAATGATAGTACTAAAAATAATGTTTCAAGTGAAATTAAATCTTGTGCATCTGGTGTACTAATAACTCAGGGCAGACAAAAAGTAATCACTTTAACCTTGGAAAACGACCCAGTAGGAAACTTTCTCGTGAGTACAAACGTGGGAACAATCCTGGGCAACTATAAACTATAGCAGGCCAAAATAAAACTGCCTCAAGCCACCATTCAGATGCGTAATGCAATCTAAAGAGTGGTTACATAGAATAGTATCCTTGTATATATTCCAAAAAACCAAAACCTAAGTCACCTTAAACCAATTTTTGTAAATAAATTCGCGAATGGTAATAAGTTTTTCTAAAAAATATTGGGGAATAAGGTCACAAGGTGTAAAAAATTTGAAAACGTCAGTACTTCGTGTGGTATATTATATATCCAGATTTCAGTCGATTAGAATTGGCGGCACGAGTAAGCAATAGACACCAAAGTCAAATGACCTCCAATATCCAATATCCTGATTACGAGCTAGTATAAACCAGTGATTTCTTTGAGCTCGCTTCTTGATTGTGAGGTAGAGGTTCCAGATCTTCGGTGAGCTTCTGCGTAGTAAGTCCCGCCACTCGACTGCTTTAGCTCTGGTAGACTCCAAGAGGAGTGGTGCGGGGATTGGTCAAGATGTGGTTTGTAGTATGCAGTATGTTAGGACTGTATTGCTGCCGTGAATGGAGTTTGACCTAACTCCCGTTGGTCATTCGGTGTAGTCATAAAAGCAGAATAGTAATAATAATAATAGGTTGTAGTGTAGATAATATAGGTTGAGATAAGTGAAAAAATAAAGGTGACCTAAGGAAAAGATAGAGTGAGAGAAGGCAGAATAGGTCGTGGGGATTTAGTTGGTACGCTTATCCATTGACAGTGTGGTTTTAAGTTTTATGAGGATAAGCCATTGAGACACAAACCTTGCATTTCTGCATGATTGTCTAGCTTCCGCTTAAAAATCTCCAGAGATGGCGCTGTAGTCACGGCCGCCGGTAAAGCGTTCCAGAGACGGCAAACACGAAGCGAAAAGAAATGTGATCGCACTCGAGTCTTTGGTCTCTGGTGTGCTATCCTTAGCGGGTTACCTCGTGGAAGCCTATAATCACTTAATGGCAGGATGCTTTTATTTGGGTGGGCCTGGTCATTTAGGATCTGGTAGACGGTGATGAGGTCTCCCCTGTGCCTACGGTAACTAAGTGTGAAAAGACCTAATTTCTTTAGTCGTTCCTCATATGATTTGTTGCGGAGGCCGATCACCCATTTTGTCGCTCGTCTCTGGACACTTTCTAGAATGTTAGCATCCCTTTTGAGTAGCGGAGGTGCAATGATATTATGCACCTCAAGGTGTGGCCTCACATATGCCTTATATAACCTTAAGAACAGTTCGGGAGTGAGAGCTCCCAGCTGCCTATGCATAAAGTGTAAAGTTGCGTAGGCTTTGGCGACGTCCCTCGAGTAATTTCCACTGGTGTCTAGCTTTTCTGTTAGAATAAGACCTAGATCTCGCTCTGATGGAACACAACTCAAGTTCTGGCCACCAAGGGTGTAATTTACACTCTGTGACCTGCCGGAATGAAGTTGCACTACTTTGCACTTCTTTAGGTTGAAAGGCATTCCGTTAGCCAGAGCCCAGTTTCCCAGAGTTTGCAGGTCAGCCTGCAATCTGTCTGAGTCTTCCGATGAGTTTATTGCTCTCCAAATCTTTACGTCGTCAGCGTAAAGAAGCGCAGAGCAGTTTAGTTGGGAGGGCAGGTCGTTGATAAAAATCAAAAACATCAACGGCCCTAGGATAGAACCCTGAGGAACCCCTGATGCCGAGGTGTGCCAGGATGATCGGATGCGGTTGACTTTGGTGCAGAATTCTCTCTCGCCTAAGTAATCTTTCAGCCATGCGAGAAGTGCTCCAGAAACACCCGCCTTGCTTATTTTGTGAAGGAGCAGACCATGGTGAACTGTGTCGAATGCTTTCGCAAAGTCGAGAAAGATCACGTGGGCTGGTACCTTTTTGTCCCAGGATAGTGTCCAATCGTTCCAAGCTAGTAGAAGATTCGTCACGCAGGATCTTCCCCTCCTGAAACCGTGCTGTGCTTCGTGAAGAAGGTTAGTCCCATCGAAGTATTTTCTCATGTGGTCGTCAATGAGACTTTCCAATATCTTCGATATCACTGGAAGTAGAGCAACTGGTCTGTAACTGGTCGCATTCTGCCGGTCACCACCCTTGAAGATAGGGGATAGGATTGCACGTTTCCATTCACATGGAAGTTTCCCTACATCAAGGGAGTGTTGGAACAGATCACTTAGGGGTTGACAGAGACTTTCTGAACACTGCTTCAGGACAGATGGTCTGATGTCATCACAACCTGAAGACTTTCCCGAAGCCAACTTTCCCAATTTTGCAAGTACCATAGCCGGGGTAATTTGAAATGTACCCAGGAGGTTTTCGCGCGTTGGTTTTGCGATGTAATCTTGATGTTCTGGGGGGTAATATCCTCGTTACTGTTTAGTTGCCTGTGAAAGGCTAGGCTGAATGTCTCTGCCATTTCAAGACTAGTAAGAGATTTCCCATCAGAACCCACTAGATTGCATGCTCCCTGGTTGGTCGGTTTTCTTTCGGACATAAACCTGTATAGGCTTTTGGGGTTCACGAGAAGCTTATTGGCGAGGTTTCCCTGAAATGTCCTTCTATCGCTCCGGACTCGTATGTTACATCGATTCCTGAGTTCAAGGTACACTTCATATTCGGGTTGACTCTTCGATCGTCGCCACGCGAACCAGGCTTTTCGCTTCGCCTGCAGAAGGCGTTGTGTCCCCCTTCTTAGCCATGAACGTTGCTTCCTAGCTTTGGTGTGACTAAAGGAACAGTGTCTGAGACCGCCTGGTGAATGATCTTGTAGTAATTTATAGTAATCGTAGTATTAGTATTTCGAGATGACCGAATTACAAGAATCCAAACAAAACACAGAGAGGGCGGAATTCAGGGATTTGTATTTAGCGGAATTCTAATGCAATTCATATATGAAACATATTAGCAATCAACAGTAAGTACTTAAACAATGCAGAGATAGAAATTGTCAATCACCACATCCGCCACACCTCGAATATCTCCTTGCGTATTTATAACGATGTCTCGGTTTGCTTGCAAGTAGCTGCGACCTTCTAACTGATTCTGTGATACTATTTTCATCAGTATTATCTGGACTTATTTCAGAATTATCTACAAAATCAGGATTAGTAGCGGAATTATTAATATTAAAATTGGAATGACCTACCTCATTTATTGTCACTTTGTCCAGGTGTCCGTTATGAACTGAGTGATCTTTGATGTCTAATATCTTCACCACTCGATTTCTCATTTTTTGTAGTATGATTCCAACAGAAGGTCTATAGTTATTATCTTTGTAATAATGTACATTAGAAGTCGCGGACATCAGATGCTTTTTGAGAATTCGAGATTTGAATAGTTTTGCAGGACTTTCATGGGTACATGTATGCTCTGCATTCAACAGACGTAGTCTATGCATATGCAGTAATTCCTCAATTTTAATCAGTTGCTCTCTCATCTCATTCAGGTCTTTTCGTGTTTTCGACAGTTCACATTGTAACTCAGCTACGTCATTTTTGAAAACAGTTGATGCTTGAGTTGCTGAACTTGTAGTGGAGATTTTCATTGGATGAGCTTGAGTATTTTGAAAAGTTGAAAGAGACATCGACTGCATTTTACTAGACAGCTTGGGAGAATTATAAGAATGTTGAGCAACATAAGTATTCGAACTTCTGCAAACAGTCTTGATGTGTCCAACTTTACCACATTTGTGACACTTAGCACCCCGAAAACGGCAAGTGCTTCGTAGAAGTAACTTTCCACAGGATAAGCACGGTTTAATGTTTTTGATCTCTGGCTGCATTCTATTACCTGTGGACGGCAGTTTGGATTGCTTTCCATGACCACTTGTGTTTTCGACTTTAGGAAGCATGACATCAGATACTGACGTAGTGGGAGCAGAGTATTCATTATTGACATCTTCATATGTAATACATAAATCTTTAGCAGTTTGAAAAGTACAAGAAGGAATCTGAATTAACTCTTTCTCTAACTTAGGAATATTGATTCCAGCAATTAGACGATCACGTAGTTGAGTATGCAGCTGACCTCCAAAGTTACACTTTGAAGCTTGAATTTGAAGTTGAAGAATGAACTCTCGAATCTTCTGGTTGGGAGCACGAAACAGTTTGTTGAATTGAGCCCTCTCTCTGGTCTCAAAAATAGTTATATGGAAGTGATCTATAAGACGTTCACGGAATTTATAATATGGCAGAGAAATTGGTTTATCTGGAAATGACAGAGTCTTTACTAGGCTATACGCAACTAGCCCAATAGCAGTGATGAAATGTGCTGGTATTTTGTCATCCCGAACATTCTTGGAAATGCACCACGCGTCGAAACATTCAAAATAATCAGCAATCTCCCGCGGAGAACCATTTATAGGAAAATTTCCCAGGTTATTTAGTTCCATCGCGACTCCAATTTGTAGTAATTTATTGTAATCGTAGTATTAGTATTTCGAGATGACCGAATTACACAAATCCAAACAAAACACACAGAGGGCGGAATTCAGGGATTTGTATTTAGCGAAATTCTAATGCAATTCATATATGAAACATATTAGCAATCAACAGTAAGTACTTAAACTATATAGAGATAGAAATTTTCAATCACCACATATCTCCTTTACCACTCTCCAGTGTTCTTCTACTGTTAGCTCTGTCCATTTTTTAGGCCAATTCGCTGCACACATAAGTCTTTGCATTTTGGTGTAATTGGTTTTATTTTAACACAGATAGGGCTGTGTATTGTCCCACCGTAAGCGCTCGCGGAGCACTATGTCTAATACTATGACCGCGTGGTCACTACTACCTATGGGAGTCGTGATCTGAACGTTTTCCATTAGTAGCTGGTCACTAGTTAGCACGTAATCCAGTCTAGAAGACTTCCCATCAGGGCCCCATCTAGTATCCATCTTGACATTTTCAATGAATCCAGACCTCCTGATGGTATGCAGCAGATTTCGATCAAATCTATCATGGGCTTTTCCCGACACCAGGCTAAGAGATGGGGCATTGAATTCACCAGCTATGACAATTTGATCATAACCCATGTCTTGAGTTACTGAGATTGTATTTAGCAGTACCTGGTTGTGGTGTGCTCCACATGAAGGTGATCGATAAATGCTGCCCACTAGATATTTGCAGTACCCAACGGTGAAGTGGCACCATATGGAGTCAGGGAGGTCTGTGAGGGGAGGGTCCATTGCGTGAACACATTTGAGCTGTTTGTCGACGTATATGGCCACTCCACCTCCTTCTTTCAGGTCCCTATCTCGCCTGACCAGGACCATATCATTTATACTGACTTCGCTGTCTGCCATCGTAAGGGTTAGCGAGGTTTCCGTCAGTATTATGCTTTAAAAGTTCAGTTGTGATTGTAGGGTGTCTAATTTCAGCTATTTTGCCTCTTAGCCCTCTCACATTACTGTACAGGCA